AAAGAGATAAAATAAAAGTTTCACCTTTTCGAAACATTTATCACACAGTCGACAATGGAAATAACCATCTGCAGACGGTTGAGCACCCTTCTTGACTGGCGTTCGATGAACCTAAAGTATATCGAGCATAAAATGATGACGGTAACGTGCAATGGTCAAGCACTTACTTGATTGAAGTGGACAAACGCTATGCATAAATGAATGAATGATGAAGCACGATAATTCAAATAGCGCAAGTCATAATCGAATACGTAAACCGAATAACTTTTGACGTACTTTATGAAACAATCGTTCAGAATTGGAAATATCGCACTGAGAGACACAATCAAAATCGCCAGTCGCCTGGCATGATAAACCAAAATTTACGGTAGCATGATGATGATGGTGAGTTGAGGTCCGTTGCGATAAGCAGCTTTGTTGTTGAGCCAGAGTGGCTAGGGATTCACTGATTACGGTCGGCGACAGTTGCTTTATGACTGCAGCTGCCGAGTCGTTTGCACCGTCGTGGAGACGCATCGTTGCGGATGTTTTCCGTTGTTGTTGTGTTCCCGTCGGCACTATATTCTCAGCGGCTAAGTTCAACACACCACCTTTATCCAACCTGAATCACCGACATATTGCTTCTTCAAGCATTCGTCTTAACGCAACTAGGGAAGTTATACCAAAATTAGGGTGAATATGCATAGATTCAGCGAATTCTCGATAATATTTCCTGGTTGAAACCACAGTCATACACGGTGAACAAGCAAAGATTTGCAAACCTTTCATCTTGGAGCACTTGATCTTGATCAGTAGCATACGAAGGGTAGGTGGCATCAGATTCGGCCTCGGATGTCTCGGAACCCTCTTCGCCGTCTGCATTCCTGGCCGATGACCGAAGATTGTACGATTCACCGGGTTCCATCTGGAATGTCGTTTGATGGAATATATGACAGAGAATTGATGAGAACGCCGATAGCAACAGATTTGAGAAGGTTTCCAACCTGTTGATGCATCTCAAGCAACTGTCGCTTCCGTCTCAAATTCCTCAGCTTACGATAATCATCCGGACATGCTTTCTTCCACATATAATAGAACTCAACACATTGTTTTACGGTCTTATTGCCGAGCTGAAATCAACAATATGAGAATTTGAATCTAAAAGGAGAATATACAACGCAATCTATAAAAAGACTGTGAAATGTTATGGACTGAGAACACCATCAAGAAATTAATCGTTTCAAGCTCACATCGCGTGCGACTTGATGAAAATCTTTTTCGCTTTTATAGATGGCATCCTGAAAGGATTGCACATCCTCAGGTGTCCATGGATCAGTATCATTGTAGATATTGTTGTAGATGATCGGGTACTGCTCCCAATCCAGTGTATCTGAACGCATCAAGTCCATGACGGCTGCCTGGATATTGCCCTGAAGTTGACGAATAGTTGAGAATGAAGCAGAAATCAATTCGAATTAAAGGAAATAAAATTTGATCCGAACTCCAAGCAAAATGCGACGAGAGTAACTATATAGAGCCCGACAGATCTATCCAGATCAAGCTTAATCTGTTTGGGGAATCGCACACAGACGGAATCATTTATAAACTGTTGTATGTGTAAGTGCAAGTCACTCGAGCGATAAAATCATCTCAGATTGCTAGAGAAACTTCTTAACGAAAATTATCTGCCACATTACTGACCTTGTTTTCCATGAGCAGATGCAATGCGAGCTCCCTGTTCCGTCCAGGCCGTGGTACTGCTTGACTGCATGCTAGCAACTCGTATGCTTCGACTATAATTTACTTTTGTTACTGGAAAAGTTTGCAGTGAAAATGCATGATTATAGTAGGGAATAATTGGGTCGAAAAAATTTCCTTGGGAATACACACTTTGTGAAGATGAGCTGAAAAGTTTCTCGATTTTATCTCGTTTCCATAGGATGCGATTTGAGCATCTCTCATGAGCAGTTTTGTGCTAAAAGAAACTTTTGATGTTTATGAAACAGCGGTTGAAGGTTTCTCTGCCATTCAACCATAACAAAGCAATGATTGTTGAAGGAATTTTTATTTTGCGATTAATAAATATGCAGCTTTTTTAGCGGTTCCCTAGTTTATGATTATTACGTTCGATGTTTGTGACTGAAGGAAGGAGTTATTCAAAGGAATGAGAGGAATGACGGTAACGAAGCTGATTCAACCGCTGATGCATGTATTTGATAAAATTTTTTTGCAAAATGCCTTCGCAATTAACAACCAACGTGACGCAATGATACAGCTAAAAATGTAGATTCAAAGGTCGCTGATGTAATTTTGCGACGATTAATAAATGTGTAGCTTTTTTGGTGGTTCCCTAGTTTATGATTATTACGTTCGGTGTTTGTGATCGAAGGAGTTATTCACTATCCAGAGGAATGAGTTATTCAGAGCGTAGCTGGACGGATTTGATCTCATACGCATCCACTATTGTTCATTTGAGCTATGGAATGCAGGATTCATAGTTGAAATTATTAGGTTTTGATGTGATATCAAAGCCATATCATTGCTTTTGTCCATTCAGGATTGGGTTAGCTCAACCAACTGATCAACACATTATTAATATGTGCAGATTGAGCAATATTGGTATCAGATTGTTGTTAATATGATAACATTATTATTATTAGTTCTATGGCTAGCATACCAGCGCATGGTTCCAAATGATCGATCAGATTACAATCAAACACGGCATCGTCACGATCCGGAATCGCTTCTCGTTCTTCATCAGTGATCTCACGATCAGCCCATTTCTTCACCTTGGCTTGGTAGTCTTTACCTCGATTTATATGCCTACAATTGGGGCATTTTATTTATCGTAGAACTTCTTCACATGATCTAACAGAACTTCTTTCTCTCATTACCTCACTGTTATATGGCAATTTCTTTGAATTTCACTTTGATTTCCACTGTTCATTAGGCATTCGCTGAACAATGCGATCGAAAGAAAATTTTTGAAATGGTTTATTTGTTACTCAGTGGTGTTGCAGTTTTATCTGAAGTGACTGACGATAAGCCTTCTTATAGCCAGCCAGTCATTTTCTCAATCGCAGACACTAAAAAACGCCCGTACTCGCAACAGTTGGTACCAACCGTCACTGGCTGACAATCTCCTTGCTTTTTTTTTGCGTCTGCGACTAAATCAATTAAACTGTCACAAATTGCACGCAGAAATTAGTGCTCGAATAGAATACGCAAAAAAATTTTGCTATAGTTCGAATAAACGCATCGATTGCAACATATCGTTTAAATATTTAGACTGATCATAGTTTCAGCTCTTAAATATTTAGACTG